GGACTTCAGGCATTCTGATGTTTTGGGTTTTTTTCCCCAATACCTGCAGTTACGGGGCATAAGTTTTTTAGGAAATAAAAGTTTCACTTTAAAACATTCCACAGTGATGCTACAGCATACAGGTTACCAATGGCAAGGGCTGAAGGCAGCACTCAGGAGGAAAGCTTACTCGGAGGGGAAAAAAAATTAGGAAGGAGGATGAACGACTAACCATAACTTTATAAACAGCAGATGCAGATGAGAGTCTCTTTCCTTCCCCTGTCTTCCTATACTTGATAGCACTTTATATCATGAAGTGAGAAAAACAATAATGATTTCTAAGTTCAGGCTGTAAACACACCCGCCTGACGTGGCCAGCACAGGTGATGCCTCCCCTTCGCTGCTGCAGCTAAGTGGGAAACGGCCCATTTTAAATATTGTGTAATCCAGACTCTGATCAGCAGGAGCTCTCCACAGGTGAGGAGTTTTTACTGGGGCTCTACATGTTTAGTACACTAACATTACTTAAAATATCACATGCACTAAGTATTTCAAGAATGTGTGCACTGTTAATCAAACTAAAGGGAATTAGTGGTTTCCTAATCTACCGAGTACTTTAAGTGTTCTCCATGAAACTGTAGGGTTATGGAAAATAATAGTCTGATTATGCATTACAGCGGAAAAACACCCCACAAAACAGTACAAGTTTCATGTGAATCACAACTATAAGCAAGGTCTCCAGTCTAGTTCATAAAACAATTTGATTAAAATATTTTAAACATTTTGTAATGGTGTAAAATTCCAATGTAATTTATGCAACGAATTCCACCCATATCCAAAAATACCATATACGTAAACGCTTTTTTATAAAACTTTATACAATTCAAGCTCTCCTTAGGTAAGCCTATACACAATTCTCATAATCGCCTAGGTAGAAAGTCTTCATAAAAGTATGTTCTCACAGAGTACATGAAGGACAACGCTTCCATGAATCTTCCCTTTCAACAACCGATTCTGCTAAAGCAAACTTTTGCTGCTTCAAATCAAAACAGACTGGTTTCATCAATGACAACTGCACTCGGACATATCACACCAGTCTGGGGAAGGGACCTGCTTTCAGTTTTATGGGACAGAAATCCCTGTAAGCCTTGTTACCATTTCCATGAAGATTTCCACATAACTGTCGCCTGTCCTGTATGCTTCCTACAGAGTGAGATCGATGGCAACGCATACGTTTAGTGACCAGTGTCTCCCTCTTCATCTTCTCGTTAATTCGGTAATCTGTTTCATGATTGCTGCAAATACATCTCCAACCGTAACTGAAAACAATCTGATCAGATACAAGACACCAGAAACACCAAATCTGAAATGTGCAAGAACAATGTGAATATAATGCCTCCGCAGGCTTCAACTCGCAGTTGGTACCATGCCAAAACAGCCCTACAGCAAGCTTTATTTACACAACTTCCCATTAAAAATACTGTTATCTCTCAAGCTATATTTCAAATTAACAGAAATACATCCATAACAACTACTGGTAAAAAAAATGATAAAATTACTTTATTTTTTTTATTCAAAATATTCTGACAGCTTAACAATATTCCAGGTGCATTACAAACACTGCCATAGTCAACACAACAATCAATACTTAAAAGCATTCAAACACTGAAGACATGTATCTTAAAGCAAAGACAGGAGAATGCGCTTATACTAAGAGCATACAGATAATTTTCCAATAACTGACTACTTTGAGACAGATGTCTAATTTCTCCGGCATAAAATGGATTAAAATCCAGAAGAGATGAATTCCAGAGGACAAAAATTCAGATGTGTAAATGTTTTCCACCATATATTTTCTGTAAAACATTGTGAATTTATCATACAAGGTCACTACCAGCCTAGACTACTGTAGTGTTGACTAATTACGGGATAGAACAACAAAACCATAACAGAGAAACCAGCATCAAAGAAACAAACCCATAAACTTTCTAGAATATGGCTTAAATCAGTTCTCGGAGAGTTGGGAATATATTAACTATGTGGTGCAACGGAAATGTCAGGTAGAAAAAAAAAACACTTTATCTTCCTGATCTTTTCCTCTCAGGCTTCACCATAATTTGCATAAAATTTTCAACAAAGTGATACTGCCCCTCCTGGAAGTGTCTTTTCCCAGGCTTCAAAAACATTACATTACTAACAGATTGGTTTAATTCTTGAATGTATTGGCCAATATTAGCTCTAAAGTTTAAATAATGTCATTCTACACATAACACCCTGTTTCTTCCAATTAATTTGGGTTCTCAAATAGAGTCAAAACTTCAGCTTTATTTAAAACAGTGTATTTGCTTGAAGTATTATTTCTCTTTCTGATATAGAAAACAGATGTCAAATCAAGAGCTTGCAGAGACACGTACACAAATGAGTGCACAGTGCAGAACACCACACAGAGAAAGCAGCAAGGCCACAGTGTCACATTAAGTCCACACGTAAAGGACGTACGTTTCCAACAGCCAAATCCATTCTAAGGAGTTTTACTTTTGGGGCTTGCTTAAAGCACTGAAATCTTGCTCTATGGATGGCAAGACTCCTCTGTCCCCACTTTTTGTATAGCTGGCTATATATGGATGGTAGGACAGCCACTTACACAGCACACAAGAGACACACCAAAAACGCATCCAGATCTCAAATAGTCCATAGGAACGCTTGCATTTTTCCTGTGAAAAACAAGGAAGTGGTACAACTTTCAAATTACACAGCTTGCCTGTGTGTCATTAAAAAACAGAACAAAAGCAAAGCTGGCTTTAGCCCGGGCCAAGAGCCACAGCTCCACTGCAACAAATGGAGGTACATCTGGTTGCTCCAGGGTTGAACTGGATCTTCGCAGGAAAGGGTCCTCCACCTGTGTGGCTCGTCATTTCCAGTCGGTGCTTCCCAGCAGTGAAAATACGAAACACTTGTTGCAAAAATACAAGTGGCAAATGGCTACAGGACATCTCTATATGCTTACCCAAAATGCTTTGTTTCCCCATTCAATTAGTTTGCTTTTAAAAGCAATGTTTTTGGAGAACAGCCATCAGAACAAAGGATTGAGGCATTTCCCTTAGTCACAACATCAGACACTCCATTAACAGAGTGACTTAATCTCCTAAACCAAATTAGTTCCTGGAATAACTCGCGTTTGCATTCTTTCACTCTTTCTTAGGAACAAACAACTCTCTAGCAGTTGTGCAGTTTAAGCCTGTTAAAGTATTTTAATCCAGCATTTTCTTAGCACCTCAACACAAACTATGTTGTAGCTTGTCTGGTGAACATCAGCTACAGACAACCACTACGAGGGGAAGCGCCCACACCAGGGTTGAAAGAACAGCAATATCGTCCCATGATATTGAAAAGCACTTTTTGATACACTGTCTTCCAAGTTAGACTCTGACTCAACACGGGATTTCTCGCCAAGTAGGGTTAACTCCAGTTATTTAAGTACAGTAAACATAAGAGGGCAGCACTGAGGAGAGCGATCCTGTACATTAGCGTTTTCAGTCCATTTTCTAAAAACCAACAGGTTTTAGAAACCAACGGAGATACGGCTCAGTGTCAAGGCTAAGTGGGCAAATGTCATCTATGCTAAAGTCGTTACGGGAACTAACATAACCCTTGCTTATTGTACAACTGTACTCCTTGGATTTAAGCCAACCATACACATTTCATTCGACTAATTTACCTACCCTGCTTAATCTCAAGTATCTTCATCCTTTCACACTCCCTAATTAACTACCAATTATTTTCCTGAGTGAGATTATAAAAAGTTAAACCCTTCTACCAAAAGTACAAAGACAAATAAAATATAGAACAATACAAACCCAGTTATACAGCATTACGAGTGCAGAAATTCTTCATGTTGTTGCTCCTCTTTATCATTGGCCCCCAGTAAAAAACATAGCAAAGAATTTAGTTATCCAAAATATTTTGAAGTACTGTGATTAAATTCTTCAGACCATAAATGTAGCCCTCATCCTTTGTGTTGCTAGGAAACACATGAGCAAAATCTATCATTCGGACTTCTACGTTTGCGCTTTCCTTGATCTCTGCTGGCATGTGACAGAAAACTTTTTCCAGTTGGGGTATAACATTTCCGTTCAGATGCTCCTGTGTAATGCACGTGCTGCTTTTCCACACGTTGCCTTGCTCCAAGTTTTCAACTTTTAGTGAGAGCTGACTGTGGTGCCTCTTCGAGTACGCCTTTTTGTGAAGTGCATAAAATTTGGACAAGCCTTTACTTACAGATGCCTCGATTTTTCCATTCTCTGTAGAATTTATTACATGAATATTATTATTATACTCCAGTATGTCTTCACCTGATAACAGTCCTTTGGGCACTCCTCTCTTCTCCGCCAAGGTGACATCACTCAACCGCACGGTTGTTGCCTGACATGAACCTTCATAAACAAACAGCAATGAGCTTGCATAAAAGTTGAGTTGCTTCTGGCCTTCAAACCACTCCAAAATTTTTTCGATCTTCTGAATGCTGGCAGCTATTGCATCTTTTCTCAAGCAGTACCCATTGTGGAAAAACTTTGAGATGCCTGTAACAAAGAGACATATTTTGGGATTATTTTCACGTCTGAAAAGAAATCCAGCATTTTTCATTTCTTTCAGGATGAGAATAGTTCTTGATTTGAAGAAACATTATTCACATAGTTTCCTTTCAGGCAATTAACAACTAAATCAGAAGTGAATGGAGGAACCCTGATACCTTCAGCCACCTCACCTGTAGAAGGCATGCTGTATAATACTACAGATTGGGCTTGGATGGGAAATAAAACTAATCAATGCATCAATCAAACAGTAGGTGAACATGGTTCCTACTCCCCATGTCATTTTAGCAAGTATCAGGACAGTTTTGGGCAGAGACCCATTAAATTCTCCAGGGGTAAACAAGCTCAAGCAGCTCTTTATCACGAGCGACAGAGCTGACAAGTTAGTGCCAGCACTGGAAAGGGGTGCGTTTGAGCGTGCGTCCTTCTGTCCCTCGGTGGGGGACAGATGAGCAGATGTCAACTAATAACCAGTTTGAAATAGTTATCACCAACCAGCCACATGATGGTAGCATTTTTATCTATTGTTAATGTACAGCAACACATGGGTTGACTTCAACCAGGAATGTCCCTTAAATCAAAAGCTGCATTTATAGTAGCTTTCTAATATAAAAGACAGGATATATTCACAGAAGACAACTAGAGGTAAAACCACACATTTTCTAAAAGCTTTCTATTTTGTTATAGTTTCAAAGCTGCAAAGAAATTGAATTCTACTGCTATCACCCCCTTAGTAGTAGTAAAAGACATGTGACGAGGAAATTCCTGCAGACTACACTGCTGTTTATAGCCAACTGCATACTTAATTTAAGATCAACGGGTAGTTCGAATGATACAGAAAACTGCTAAAGACCCATCTTGCAAGAGGGGAATAAAGGACTTTCAAAATAGGAACACATGAACTACTTTTTCCATAAGTTTCTATAAACAAGTAAATAAATGAAAAATATCCAAGAGCACCAATTCTGACACACAAAATTCGCTTACCGTCCTTTACTGTTTCCTTTGTCAAGCTCCTTCCATAGTGCTGGTTTTGTGTCTCGTAGCTGTCAGAAGAGGCATGGTAAACCTGCAAGAAACAAGGAGGTAATCGTACTTCTTTCAAACAACCAGTACTTCTGCAGAGCTATGAGACACCTCTCTGTAGAGGTGACAAAATCTTCAGTACCATTTAGCCCTCACACAGTCTGAAGTTACTTGTTACTTGCAGCGGTCAGCACTGCCCTCCAGTGCTCCGATCCACAAGATCCCCCCCTTCACATCCTGGGGTCTAAGCTACAGCTTCCCTGCATTAGAAAGACATGCTGTTGGCAAAAAGCAATGTATCCGTTACAGGAAAACATTTTATACAGCACCTGCCTTGCAAATCAAAGCTAAGGCTTGAAACTGTCATACTCCTTCCCATGTTACTACGAACATTAAATTAGTAAGATGTAACAAGCTCAAAAATTCAATGCAGTTGTTAAAACTATAAAAATATTTAGCACAACAGCAAAACAAGAAGAAATACTATGACATGACCAGGAAGGCCCACTTCCGTGAGACCCACCTGAAAGGATAACTGTTGACACAAATGAGGTTACACTAAATAAATGGCAGCAGCCAAGTGAAAGCTCGGTTCCAGCACTGATAGTGGTACATCAGCTCTTGCCTGAAAGGGAGGCAACTCATATGGGCACAGTTTTGTCCATATCAGGAATTGTACAAGCTTAACAACTTAATTCAAAAATGTTTTACATAGAGACACATTTTCTCCCTAACTGAAATAATTTCCACAGTAGAAACGTGCCAGCCAGCCAGGCCCAAGTATAATTTGTTTATGGGAGTGTAGACAATTCTTATTTGCAGAAATAATGGTGTTACCAAGCAGGCAGTTGTGTCTGGCAGAAACTCTGTGCTTGGCGCTTGTTCAGACCACCCAACCCTGCAGCACCAATCCGACTTCCCTTCACCCGCTGGAAAAAGAGAGGATCCCACAGAAAGCAAGTAAGGGTGCACTGGTGAGGTGCTGTTCCCCAATCCCTCCTCTGGGGTCTTGTTTTTGCTGTAGCCCACAGAGAAAGTCCAGGACAGTGAAACATCAGCACAGAAAAAGGAGTGGTACATGAGCAATAATTAAAAAAAAAAAAAAAAAAAAAAAAGAATTCCCTGTTTTCATTGCAGTCCCCCACACCAAAACCTCTCTTCCCCATCCAAACCACAACAAGCACAATACGAAAATACAGGTCTGTAACTTCTGCTTCGCAAAGTAGCTGGGAAGAAAAGTTCCAAATAGCTCTTATTTTGACAAAAAGATAGACGTAATTAAAGTCAGGGTCCCCAAGGAACTTAAATCATAGTGTGTGGAAACTGATTTAAGTAATCAACCATGAATTTAAGGGACTGAATAATTCTGGTTATTCTACAGAAATAACAGTTGTAAACCTGAGCGTCTAAACTTACTCGGCAGCAGAGACACTTCCCACTGTTATGATTCCTATTTCCACTGTTATGCTACTAACAGAAACTGAGGCCCTGACATCTACAAATCTACAAACCATAGAAGAGCATAGCAGAGGTGAGTTATTCTAAAAACAGCATCTGACAAGTGTCATTTGGGTTTCACGTAAACAGTTTTTCACCACTTCCCACCCCCCCCAAAGCACATAAAACCAGCACAGCATCCTACATACGAACTCAAAGATTACTTTTGTAAACACTTCAGGTACCAAAGTTACTTCCAAAAACATATAAAAAGTTTCAAAAACTTTTTAAATTGAAAGAGCCACAAGCCAAAGGTTAATTAAATAAAGCAAGAATGAAAAAATATATTGCTTAGGAAAAGGATAAGAGTCTGACAATTACAACTAAGTTTTCACTAGCTGTGTCTCCATTCTAATAATATTAAACATTCCGATTTAGTTGGTCTAGGGCAGCTTCCTCCTTACACCAGCACTGCAGCACACTCCTGAATGAATGATCTTATTTACCAGAACCTTATCTCTTCCCCCTAGGAGCTAACAGTTTTTGTGACATGGGCGCTTGCTCAAAAATGCTGATTAAGATCTGCAAACTCATTTTGTTTTCCAAAGAAACTCTGGAGCAGCACATAAGCCGCCTGTGCATCTGAGCTGGGTTTTCCATGAAGCCACCCCACCTCTTCTCATCATTTGCACAAAACCATGCCCCAAAATGGCTTTCCACATAGTTTAAAAGTCCCCAGGCAGATGTGCATGTTCTGCATTGACTGTGCATTTTTAACTATACAAAATGGTTGATGACAAACTACCAAGTCCCCCCATCCCACCCCAACAGTGCAACGTATATACTTAACTACCTTGTGAACAAGCCGACCCTCAGAGAACCCTTGGTTACCAATGGGCTTAGCTGCAGACAACAGCAATAAGTTAGCCGAAGGGCTGTCTCTTAACACTGCTCCAAGCCTTTTCTCTACTGCAAGGAAGTGACGATTTGAAACATTCCTGGCAAACTTCAAGCAAATGCGTGAAGCCCCATTCTGAAAGCAGAGGAACAGAAACCTGAGCTCCAACAGAAATAATCTTTCATCAGTTCTTGCCTCACCCTCACCTGCCCCCCCAAAACACAGCAATGGCAGTGCTGTAGTAGCAGAGGACTAAAATCAACTTCCTAGCTTACAGACCTCTTGCTTCACCGTGCTTTTGTTCACGCCACCACTGCTACTAATCTGCTACTAACACTTTCCAAAAGGCTATTTGCCTTTGAACCAACCTTTTTCTGTATCCCTGTTGTTGCAGCTGTCTGTACTAGCCCATTTCTGTCAAAACAATGACAAGTCAAATAAATCAAATCTGTAACCTTAACAACGGCCAAGAAATTATTAGACAGGAAAATCTCATTTCTCGTACACCTGCCGCAGCTCATTACGTGTTTGCTCTGTAAGCACAAGGAGTTCCACTGTATAGCACAAGACAAAGGAAACTCCTTATATGATCTGCAAAACATTGCCTTCAAAAAAAACTCCTGCTTTGTCATTGATTTTTGTACATTCTTACTACACAGGATCAGAGCTGTTTTGGCTGACAACGCAGAGGCTCCTCCTTGTGCCTAGAAGCAGCTCCCATTTGGTGATGTTTCTACATAAACAGAACTGGAACCCAGCATGCTAACAGGTTCCAATTTTTAATTATTAGTAGTAGGGACTCTGTACAGGCAGCATGTCAAAACTTAAGTCTTGGGGGAAATTATCTTCAGACTTCCTCAGTCTGTACTTGGCTTTTGTTTCCCCACAAGGTGTTAAGTTATTGCTGCTTGCACATGCACACATATTTTTGTACCCTTTTTTCAATTATGGTTAGTTCATCTGACACTCCTGTACTGAGGGGAACCTTGAGCCAAAACAAAGAGTTCGTCCAGTGTGGTCTTAAAAAAAGCACAACCCCCGCAAGATCTCAACAGCGGGACACATGGTTTGGAAACCTTGCAACTGCAGCTTTATGACGTTAAGCTGAAGACTCAATTGAGGAAACCAAATATCAAATGCTATTTAATGTTATTTACAGTCATTCAGTACTGACTTCCATGGTGAGGCAGAAAAATAAACACACTGTTCAAATGCTTATCTGTGGCAACTCCCTAACTTCCAGAAATATAATTTAAATACATATTAATTAAGACTACCCTGTTTGGTGGAGCACAAATAAAAATCTCCAATAAATAACTTGCAGAGCTCTTTGACATCTGCAAAAATCATTAACTAATTCACCTCACTGAAACTGAGGGAAAAAAAATACACTGAGCAGGCTCGTAGGGTACTACAGTGGGGTACCTGCAGAGGGAAGGCCAACTTGATTGCCTGCACGATACGGACTCATGCGCCACTGACATTCCCACGCACCAGCCTGGGACCTGCTCTTCTAAGCAAGGACAATTTGATCAGAGACCACGCTCTGATGCCAAGACACCCAGACTTCAAAGGGCTGAGCTGCCCACCTCTCCTATTTTTTCCGTAAATATACTTAACAGTCACCCCTATCTTACACTCACACAGGTTAACAGCAAGCGTTTAAATATTACATGGAGCTTTCTCTTTACAGCAAGACACCTCTGCGCCCGTAATCGGCATCTGAAGGTCAGTACCCAGCCTGCTGCCAAAACTTGAGCCAAGCTGAAGGCAAGCAGGCAGCACCCCAGCTACCCAGAGAACATCCAACGCCAGCATGAGCCCACCACCCTCGCAGGGGCAATGCCAGCGCCAGGCCAAGACCCACACCCCCAACTGGGTACCTTTAGCCCGGACCTCACGATTGTTCCTACATAAATACACAGGTTTCCTTCCCATCTGAAGAACCTGGTTTTCTCTGCAGTCCTGTGAGATCTCCGGGACTGATCCTGCCACAGTGGAAGACTTAAATACTGAGTTTTAATAAGCCTTATTTTTTCTTTTTCCAAAAGTAAGTAAAACAAGGATTTGAAGGAAGAAAATAACAAAGGGAGAATTTTTTTCAAATACATTCTATTATTTGATACTACTGCTTTGTAGTAATGCTGTTAATACCATTACTGCTGCTGAGAACATGCCTGGTTATCTAAATCCATTTAATCTAAACACACCCCCCCTTCTCTTATTTTAAAAACCCCCAAACTTTTGTTGTTGATGCTAGACCATAAGTGCCAAAAGTACACACATCCCTGCTTGCTCCTGGCTTGATTCAGCACAGGAAGGATGCATCCCTGCTCCCCCATTTCTAAGACTATATTTACATATTATTCTATCTCTTCTGCTCTTTGTTCTTCTGGTATTTGACAGCATGCTTTATATGAAGTATATCACCAAATGCTCTGACAACCAGTATCAAGTTTTAGTAAGGCCGTTATGTAAGCTGTCGAATGAAATTATGTTGAAACTAATTCAGTGAACAAGCAGACTAATAATCTTCCAAATAAAAGAAACAACGACACTGCTGTTAAATCATGAACCATTTTACAAACAGCTTAATACATCATTTTTGACTCCCAGAACTTCCATGGAGCACCTCATTAGAATAACTTACTTTTATGCCTCCTTTTTACATAATGGGGGGGCAAGGGGAAGAGGCCATCTCATCTCATTATCATCAGCTTTTCCCTAACATACAGGAAATCTTATCAGCCATAAGGACATAAGTGGACCAGCTGTCATATACATGACGAGTCTTTTGTGTAAGGAAAAATGGCTGGAAAAACACGCCAGGGTGCCCATCTGCTAGAACTTGCCCAAGAGGGTCCCAGATGAATCTCCTGAACTCTACAAATTAAGTACTTCTGCCACATACCCTTCAACCCACTAGCAGATCCTGAACTCCGAGGAACCACAGCCCTCAATACCACAGCACAGATTCAGCACCGGCAGACTGCGCAACCGATGAGCCGAACTCAACTGCAAGAGCCAGGGAGTGACAGCGGAAGGAGAGAAAAGCAGAGGAGGCGGTGGTGCACAGAGGTAACAAAGGCAGCACAGAGGAGCCAGCCAGAGACTTGGTTTACTGCTCATTTCAACCACTGCAGATATCTATGTCCAGACTTCGGGTGGGTTGCTGGTTTGGAGGGGCTTTTTTTCAGTGCTTTTAGTCAGTTGGTTTGGTTTGCTGTGGTTTTTGTTTTAGTGTCGGGTGTGTTAGTTTTTGTTTTGTCTTCCGGTTTTCTTAAACATCAAAGCTTGAATTAGACTTCTAAATATAAAAAAACCCCAGTTCTAGCAATTTTTTACTGTGGAAGAATACGAACACTAGATGCAGGATTTAAAAGCTTTATTATTCCTCCCTTCCTAAATCTAGTTACTAACATATCAGAGCTGATGAAAATTACCACAATACTAGGAAGGGTTCATGGAGAACTCATAAAACAGATGCAGCTACAGTCAGTTTTAAAATATTATGCAGGAACATGTGCTGTAGATTAGGAAATTCACTTTTAAAAAAGCTGTGATGAGGTATCTGCATTACTGCATGCAATAGTTCACAGGTAGAAACCACAAAAGTAAACGATGGATTATACTGGTAAAGTTACATAATGACCAGCTTGTGCTTTAAAAATGCGTTCCAGAAATACTACGGACTACTTGATATTGCAACCAAGACGTTCTGGATAAAAAAGAAAACCTACAGAAAGGGGGAATTGTGGATTCTGAATGGACTGCGAATCCAAAATGACATCACAACCCTCTGCTTGTATTCAACAGCACATGCTGTGAAGATATTTCTTATATATTTAGATGTCTGCTGCTGACAGCATATTGCATCTTATATTTTGCTATTGGAACCGCACCTTTGTTTTCCTACTTGCATTTCAACTCTCGCTACTTTCATAACGAATGTACGTCCTCAGCTGTTAAAGAAACCTCTCCACTAAACACGAAATTTGGTTTGTAACCAGTGTTATTGAAATTACTGTATTTTCTAAATGCATTCAGTCTATCTATTCCGTGCATTAAGATGAATATAGTTTAGCATATGCCAAATGCCAGAACCAGGTACATAAATCAGTCTATCTTGCCAGATGGGAGACTGGCTTCTTTCAAGGACAAACCATACACATTTTACATATAACAGATGACTGCTTATTTACCAGTGCATTAAAAAAAGCTGTATCAATGGCTTTTGGGGTAAAACACCCGCTATAAATAAATGTTAGGATAAGAAACCCCACCTATATCACATTTGTGCTTGTATCTCTTCATGACAGCTTATATGATGTGTGCTTTACAAACCAGACAACTACATTTTCTATTTTTCCTGGCCCTCTTTCTCACTCTTCTAAAATAGAAACTTAATAAACAAGCCCACCTCCATGTTAAAAACAACACTCAACTGAGGGATCAAAACCAAACCCCTCTACTTTCTGAATCATGTTATACCATGTTTTGTCCAGCAAACACTAGCAACATTAGCTGTTACAGGCAGTACACCCCCATACAGGAAAGTGTTTTACATTATGGCCGGCATCTTGCAAAAAATGAAGCAAGAAGCAAGGCAGAGACCGCCTCATACTCAAGAGGCAGCAAGCTGAGCAGAGAAAATGCCCTGTGAGTTGAGATTTTGCTAAGTGTTGTGTGAGGGGAGGGAGAACCTTCTCAACCCTTCTTGGAAAATAACTTCCAACATGCAATTTGGTACCAAAGGCACAAACCAAATCTCATCTAGTCAAACACCAGATGGGAAACCGCAATGCTCTGGGGAGCCATCATTGTACATGCAGTTTGAATTAAGGAATCGGAAGAATTTCCGCAACAGGATAAAGATATCAATAAATGACAATGTTAGAAACAGTAGTCACAAGGAAAAACACCATGGAAGCAAGCATTGATTCCTCTTGCACCGTCATGAAACAAAGGATGTGAGTTCCTTGTTTTACTCATGAGATAAGAAAGGTTATGTAATGACATAAGCCAAATCCAAAGCTATAATCTCCAGCCTTCCTTCTCTACCTAAACTGTTGTTTTTCACCTCGACTCCCACAATCTTTTCTCATAGTCTTAAATAATTACTACTCATGGCCACTATAATTTATAGCCGTAAAAGCTTATCTCAAGACAGAGTTCAGGCTGAGAGCCTAGGCAATTAAGTACAAAATATTACCGAGATAGAACAATTTCAGACAATGGTGCAATGTGTGCTGTTGCTATTTCACAGCAAAGGGGAAGCTTATCAGTCTTCAGGCATTTATGCTTGTTGATGCAGAGCTGGAGAAGCCCTGGCTTTGTGTATGCGAGAATGGGAAAAAAAAAATCTCACATCAAAAAGAAAATTACTCCTGCACCAGTCATAGCAGGAAAAAGTACTTCCGATGCATTGCATCAGCAATTCGTTACTGGCATCAACATGTTTATGTTACTGATCCATAAATGTTCCATAGAGCTTTTCTTTACGCTGAAGTTTTAGAGTAGCCAACATACAAATACTGCATCTTCATCTTTCTCCTCACCTAAGATAAGGAAATGTAATAGTCAGTACAGACGTCTGCAGGGCGTTACCCACCTCAACTAACCTTCACGGACAGTCGTTCAAGCGCATAAGCATCAAAGATGTTTTCTTCTGGTGGAAAGCTTTTTTAAATGCAGAACGTAAGCAGCTACTTACAGCTACCTGCATGACCTCTGACAGCTAACTTACTCTTCCCTAAATAGAAAAATTATTAAAAATTATATTTATTAAAAAAAAAATCAAGATGAAAAATTTGGAGAGGATACAGCTTGTTATTAAATTATTACAAAGACTGGTTCAGTGTGTAAATCTCTGATACAAGCCTAAGAGTCAAATAAAAATACTTTAATAATTGGAAATACCTGCTATGCAAGAAGAATTAATTGCAACTACATTCAGTTTTAAACAACTATGGTCTGTCCCAACCCCTTTCTTGCATACATATACAGAACTCAGGTTGCAAATATGTTCCCAGAAGGGACATGCCAAGTTAAACACTTGTTGTGAACAAAAGCAGTGTTTTGGAATGTATTTCACATAGCAGTTGACACCAGTTCTACCAGCATATTCAGGTAATGCTTTATTTACGTAAAACTTGAGTGAACTATCATTTGCTAGAAAAACTAGCTGCTGTATCTGGCATGGGACAACAGGCCCGAGCACAAGCTGAATTTGAAAACAAAACAAGGTCTTACCCTCATGCCAAGTACCAAAAAGCCAATCTCTTCCATCAGCGGGTACTTGCTGACCTGCTGCTGTATCTTCTCAGCTGAAGCATACGGATCATAACTTTTCTGACCTATTTTTACATCCATTATGCAAGGCTTATTAAACTTACGGGTCACATCTTCCAGTTTTAGATACATATCTGTTAAAAAGACAAAACTTTCATAAACAGTGGGTCAAGGCAAAATAATTATATAGTTTCTGCTGAGTTTCTGTGGAGAAAGGAGAATAGTTTAAGGCTTAACATCACATGAGTTCTTTGAGTCAAATTTGTCTCTGAACACAGACTAAATCATGGTCATTGACACCCACAAATTCTGTTGGTATTAAATTCTAAATGCCATATTGTTTAGAAAATTGCATACAATTAAAGTGTGCTAACCTAGCACTCAAATTCAAATTATTGCCCAAATGAAATTAATCAGTAGCTTTTATTAAGCCATTAACATACTCCAAATAGCATTAATAAGCACATACAAATGCAGGTTACTACATGGCTTGTTTTGCAGTGGAGATGGTGTTTTCTTTCTCTGTGTGAAAGGGCTAGAATTAAAACAGCAATTTTTGTGTGTGTCATATTAAAAAATGAAATTAACATTTCGGAGCCCTACCCTACAGGGGCATCTCATTTTTCTTTTTATCCCACTCCCATCTGTACTCATTTCTCATGGCACACCTTTTGGGGAAAACACTCCTCAAACCCTAGGCTGCCTTTCATCCACTCCTAAAAGTCCCTTTGGCAGGGTGGGTGGACCAAAAACCCCCAAGCCCTTGGAGCGCCTGAACATTTAAAGGAGTATCTAAAACCTGATCAAACTGGTTTACGCTCTTCTCCAGTGCAGATAAGAGATTATCCCCAACACGCTCTACGGCACCGATTGTCAGAATACAAGCAGCAAACAAACTTCAGTAACTACTTGACTCACAGACAGCTCTGCTTGGAGGAAGCTTGCGCAGATCTCCAGCCCTTGCCAGGGCATGATATGCACCAAGACAACATACAACATTAACACATCTCTCATTCTTCACATCAGCTTCTGCAAACCCACCTGTTATCAGTCACAAACCTCACGTTAAAATTTATTTCTCTTTCAGGTACAGGCTACTCCATGAGTGTATTTCTTTGGCTTTAATGCAATCTGAATACACAAAAATATTGTATTATTCCCCATTCCTGCAGCATAATCTAAAATGGGATTGCCAAAGAAAGCAAAAACAGTTCAAGTTTCAAGAGAGAAGAGGGACAAAGTGCCTTGTTTCGACAGCTGTACAAACAGTTAACAAAACCAGCTAGAGTCAAGATCAAGGGAACAAGCAACGTTCTATTTCCACTTCAGTAGAAACACTGTCTTAAGGATAAGAAGTGAAAGGGACTGTTATTACTTCAGTAAGTCCTACTCAGAGCTTGGGTTTTTTCACCATCATGATCAAATGTCCCAGTCACCCAAAGTACGTATGTATCAATCTGAAATAGGTTTGATTTAATCCTTAGATGCCTGCTTTATGGATAAACGGGACTAAGCATATTGTTAATGTAAAGTCATTCTCAAGAAAGCATGTCAAACCAATAGAAGATTTTTAAAAATCCAGTCCTCTACTAAGTCACTGTATCAGTTTACAGTATTTTTCAGTGTCCTTCGGGCTACACAATCAACCTAGCTACAGCAAAAAGAGTTTCGTTATACACTAGCTCACCCATAAATCAGGCGTGTTAACTACAGCTGCAGGGATATCCAAGCTAAATAACTCATCTTCAACTTTGTGAAGCCACAGGCAGCAAACATACTCAGTATTTGCTCGCTAGATATTCCCTAAGGAGAAGCAGGACAAATACTCTCCCTACCAGGAAGCATCTCTTGTATCACCTGAACCACAGGTGCCACTTTTGCCATTCAAGGTTTGTATACCCAGCTCTAATTCAGTCAGATACTAGCACAGCTTTTGCAGGGCTTTGGGGAACCACTACTGAATCCAGGGGAGTCCATATAACCTCTTAGTTATCTGTTATTAAAACAACAATTGTAGAAAACTAAGGTCATCCTTCACATCTACCCTTTTTGCGTATTACAGAAATCCCTGTAATCAATAGATTTGTGTCACCCTAAAACTATCCAGAAAACAACTAAATGCAATTCAGGGTTTTCAGTACTTTGCTCTCAAAAGCACTGAGCCAGAGGTATGCCATGAGAGTTGTGGAAAGAAAATGAATACAAAATCATCTTGGAAAATGGTTACAGTCCTTCATTACCAACTCCAAAATGCTTTGGATTATGTTGTGAGCACCTCCAGCCTCAAACTGTCAGAAACACAAAATTATACGAATTGCAAGCTACCGCAACTTATACAAATTTTTCAGATGCAATGTTTTTATCAACCCTAAAATATAACTGTATACAAAGTAGTGTAAAACACCTAGTTCCATAATGCAAAAACCAGTGAACCCATAAAAACAACTAGCTTAAAAAGCAGAACTTAAGTCTCCCAAAACCTAGCATACTGCCCTTCAGACAACATGCAGGCAAGACAGTCGTGCTCTTTCCATCAAAGGCATGGAGCACCCATGGTTATCCACTGTCCTCTGCTCCACTGGTCGAAATCCTTGTTTTTAAGCATACAGCACCAACATTCAGTACCTCCAAAACATTTAAAAGTTCTAAATATCTGTCACTTTTTAGTTCCCTATCCATTTCAGATCTGTTAAGCTAGAATATCTCCTTTACTGACCTCCTAAAAATGTAACAATTACTATTTTTAAAAAATAAGCATTAAAATAACTTAAGCGCTAACACTAACCCTGGGAAATACTAATTACTTGGCAAAGCCTGTAAATTATCCAGAAATTACTCATCTCCCTCACACTTTTTGGAATTATTATTTAAGTTTCCATCGTTAGCTAACTCAGAATTAAGACCATGTTACATCTGTTCAATGCACACACACCCCACCCCCAAAAAAGCTTTTTGCCCTTGCGGGGACAGCAATGCCACCACAGATAAAGCATTGTTATTTTATTCTCATTTCAGCTTCAGAAAAATGCATCAAGTGTTTACGCTCTGTTTTTCCTGGCACCATTCAGTTGTCATTTGCATCGTGTTCAAGACCTATGGCCTACTGAAACAGACCCAAAACCACAGCATCAGACCACATCATAACTTTCAACAGTTACCCCTACGGTATCTCGGCGCGTTAAGATGAAAGCAAAGTAAGCTTCCGACTTAGCCGTCAGTAGGTATCACTGCTCTACCTTTTCAAGTCAGGTGCTCTAACAGTCTTTGAGGGTCCGACCTCAAGTGTCCTCCTCAAGGTTATCAACAAGCCTGCAGCTGAGCCTCGGTAACCAGAGCACTCTCCTTTTGTTAAACAAAACTGAAGATTTTTCAAGCAGTTCACATTTTCAAAATTATTACATAGTGCTAACCCAATGTGTTTCTGAAAATCATGCACTCGCCATCTAAAACCAGGTTAAATTAAAATCTCCTGCAAAGGAAAGAATTCATAAGGGTATTTATATCTTAGCTTTCATAGATAATCCTGACTATATATTTCAAGGATTTAAACAAATGATTCCTCAGAGGCTTGCCCTCCCTTTTTCTATTTTTCAGTGGCAGGGAAGGAGGCAGGAAGATGTGGCTTGACATATTATTTACATAGTTTATTACAGTCCCAAAGCAGACAAACCGAAAGACCACCAAAATTCGGCAAGTATGCATGGCATGAACCACTGCAGCCTTCAGCATGTATGCGCTGATGCATTCAGTCCTACTGGAATTAGAAGTGACAAAGTAACTTGAGGCGTCTGATTTGTTCTCATAACTTACAAGACATCTCTCAAAACATACGAATAAGCAGGGAAAAGCCTCAGTTGCTCCCAGCAACAAGGGAAGAAAAGAAGATTTGAAGCTGGTTTGTATTTATCTACCCTGTTCTCAGTTTAGGCAACAAAAATTAGAGCACAGTACGAAATGAGCAGCAGTGAAGTTACTTCAAAAAAAATATGCAGGGACAAGTAGGCAGCAAAAACCAGAACTCTCAGCAGGAGATATAAAAAACTGAACACAGCTCCTACATCTTTATAACAACTTTTCCACTTATTAATAAACTCCAAATGTCCACAATGCTAGGGAACCCAAAGCTCAAATCAAATTGTCTCACTCCAAATTTCGGAAGCTGGAGCATCACCATCTTAACTCCATCTCCTGTGTAGCAGGTATCCAATTTCAGTATAAAAGGACAGTTATTTTGCAAATTTTATTGATACTGTGAATATCAGTCATCTTTTCTGTCATGCTTCCTATATTCTCATTTACACTTAATACTTTTCACCCCTTGTAGCCCAAATTTCACCCACTCATCCACATTTTCCGCATAGAGGACTGATGCTTCTCCCTTTCTCTGAGAAAACAAACTCGTGTTCTCCACCTTACACACCACAGTTCCTGCTTACCCGTCACATGGAAACTCAGAGGTGGTCACAGATCAAGTTCAGAGTGGCCCAAAATTAAGTTACTCTAGGTTTTTTTTTCCCTACCACAAGCCTATGATTCTCTTCATATCTGTATGAACCTACTCAAACTCTCCACTCTCTGCCCAGGATAACAGCCATGATGCTACACGTACAGGACCCCATTCACCAACCAGCCCTCCTTCTTCCTTTGCTCATAAAAGAACTTTCTATGAAAGAAGGACACTGATGGCCATCATCCCTCTGCCCTGGCAAACCAGGCAAGCCATTGTTCCTCCACATAAACAATCTTAAAAAATATACATAGTTCAAAACATGCAGCAAGCGGAGTCTGGTAACTGATAGATCGTTTAATTTAATTTTTACTTGTTTTGAAGTCACCTGTGCCCAATTTAGCAACAATAAGGAATTACTGGGTTCACTACTCAAAAGGTTGTATGGAGCTGTGTCCCCAGAGTCTGTAGAGCAGTGACTGCCAAAGGAAAGGTTGGGCTTCCAATGTCAAGACTGCAAAAACCTACAAATACAGCCTCAATCTACATTTAAGAACTAGATACTTTCCTAGTAGCTAGATTCCATCATCTAACATCCCTGAGACACACCACAGCAGCTAAGCGTATTGTTCAATCCTTTGAACCAGAGCTTAATCCACAGCTAATTTGGGGGGACAGGTAACAAAC